CCCCCCCCCCCCCGGCCGCCCCGGGATGTACGGACGCTCCGCCGCCGTCCCATCTCCTCGCGGCGTCTCTGCGGGGCGGCCCCGGCTCCCTCCGCCATGGGGGCCGCGGCCCTCCGAGCCCTTCCTTGGGCTCTATTGCTGTTGCTGGGCCCGCTGCTTCCCGGCCAAGGTTTACAGGCCAACGCCACGCGTGTTTCCGGGGAGCAACCGTGGGGAGAACTCGGGGGTATCACCGCCGCCCCCCCCGCCACGGCCCAGGAGGTTCACCCGCTGAACAAACAGCATCACAACCACTCGAGCGATGGGCATTCCAAACCCCGCAAAGCTTTCCCCGTGCTGGGCATCGATTATTCGCACGTCCGCATCCCCTTCGAGATCTCGCTCTGGATCCTGCTGGCCTGCCTGATGAAGATGGGTAGGGGCTGGGGGCTGGGGGGGGAGGGGAGATGGGGGGTGGTGTGGGGAGAGCAGCGGGGTGGGAGACCCCCGGGAGGGACCCTTAGGGTGTGCATGGAGTGGGTGCTGTCAGCATCTCGGCTGCACCCCCCGAGCCCCCCGCTGTGACCCCTGAGACCCCTGATTGATAGCAGCCCTGTGAGCACCCCATCGGGATTGCCTGAGAGCCGTAGCTGCAACCCCACTGTGACCCTCCGAGCGCCCCATTGTGACCGAGTGCCCCACTGCAACCCCTTGAGAACCCAATTGCAACCCCATTGGAACCCCCGTGCGACCCCCTGAGCATCCCACTTACAAACCCTGAGCACCCCAATGCAGCTTCCCAGGTTCCCCAATGCAGCCCCACAACCACCCCGTTGAGACCCCCAAGCGCCCCACCTGCACCCCCGTCCTCTTGGGGCAGCCCCCCGGTGCATCCCCGTGCTGATCCCCCGCACACCCCATACAGACCCCCCCTCCATCCCATGGCAGCAGTGGGCATCCCTTTCTCTCCCCACGACCTTGTGTTTGCCGCAGGCCTGGCAGCGGGCGCAGTGCCCCCCAACCCCACAGATGGTTCCAATGCCATCTAACAGCAGAGTCTCCCTGCACCCTGACTGGGGGCAACGTTTTAGTTTTGCTTTCTCCGCCGTGAGGAGGAAGCTTTGTTCGGTGCTTTGTTTCCTTTCCAAACCACGCCGTGCCTTTTGTAACCTTGCAGAAATCCTTTCCAACTGCTCCGTGCTCCCCTTCCCTCCTACCCCTGCCTGCAGCAAAACCACCGGGCAGCGCAGCGGGGCTGGGGGTGACAGCTCAGGGCTGTGGGGCACAAAGCGGCCGTGGTTGCCTGAGTGTTTTCCAAGCTTTGATAGTAGGGAAATCACCCCAGAGCGGGATGCAGTGCAGCAGCCCCAACTGAAGGCAGTGCCCAGCTCCAAGGGTTTCTCTGCGCTGTTACCTTCTCCGGGCTGGGAGAGGGTGAAGGGGGGGGGGGGAGCAGCTCTGGATCCCCATGGTTTTTGCACCTCAATTCCCATTGGGTTTAACAGCAGTGTGGAGTGCTGTGACTTAATGGGAACGGTGCTTTGTGTGCTGAGTGCTCCAAACCCTGCTGCTCGGGCACAGGAGCCCCCCATGGGCACGCCATGCCCAAACTGCCCTGCTGTACCCCACCCCGCTCCATGGGCACTGCCCGGTCAAACCCCATTTTCTGCATGCTTTATTTACAAGGAAAAGCATTCCAGCCCCAGCAGCTCAATGCATGTGGAAAGGCATAGAGCAGCACAACCAAGCAGGAGGTGCAGCTCCATCCTTCGTGGCTTAAGGTGCGTAAAGAGGAGCCGCACACCAGGAAATGCAGCCTTCAGATCCCCAAACCACGCGGCTTCTGCTCAGCGCTGGGGGCTGTGGCACTGCGCTGGCTGTCATCCTGCTCGGAACGGAATGAGTGATGAAATCCGGAGTGTCTGTGCGGAAGCTGAAGGAGAAAGGAGGGGCCAAAAGCAGGGCGGCACGCAGGCTGTGAGCAACGCCGCAGCGTGGAGCCCGGCGGCTCGGGGAGCTCTTTGCCTTTGTGCAGCTGGGAAGTTGTTCCTGGTTGTGAGCTTGAGCCCGGTTCTTTTGCATTGAAAGCGTTATGCAAGGCTGTGATGGAGGGGTGAGATCCGGGAGGAGCCGCTTTGCAACTTTGCAAGGGTTCTTGTAGGGACAACGTCTCCCCTGGGGATGCTGAGGGAGCCCAGCCATCCCTTGGCATGCCTGCACATCCAGCAGGGATTTGCAAGCAGCTCCCTCAAAGAGGGGAATGAACACGGGGTGGGCTGGGAATTAACAGCGTGGCTTTAATTGCATCTTGGTGCCTCCTGTTGTCCATCTCTCCCAGCTACCCCAGCACTGCAGGAGCTTCCTGCAAAACCATTGCAGTGTGCCCCCCCGTGAACTGGGCTGGCAATGGGGCTCAGTGCAGGGGCATCCCAGAGGTTTGTGCTTCTTTTTGCTGTGGGCTGTGGGGCGTTCCTTTCCTTCCTGGGGGCACAGCACTGATGTGTGACCCACGTGTGTCCCACAGGCCTGTGCTGCTTCTGCTTCCCCTCATCCCACGCGGAAGGGGAGGCTGCTGCTGAGCACCCAGTGGTATTTTAAGGCTGTGTAGGAGAAAGAGGGGGGTGAGGGACAGACGCAGCAGTGCCGTTCCAGCTCCCCCAGCTACAGGACTGTGGCTGTGCTGGTGGAGGTGGAGCAGCATCAGCTGGAGCTGCTGGGAGCAGTGCAGCCAGACTTTGTCCCAGAACCGTCACAGTGCAATTTGGATTCAGTTATGGATATTTTTCCATTGCCAGGGGGAAGGGAAGGAAGGAGCCAGCAGTGTGCCTGCAGGCTGCAGTGCGGTCCCTTTGCTGGCGTGCTGTGGGCTGAGGCTGGTGGTCAGAGCTGTGCTGCTCAGCTCCCAGCTGTGTGCTGCCAACCTTGGGGAGGAATCAGGCTCAGCTCCATCTCCAGAGCACCCCTCAGGCTCTGCCTTTCGGAACCACAAAGCACAGAGGTGCTGCTCCCATCCTGTATGAGGACTGAGGTCTGATGGATCCCAGCCCTGCTGCATCCCAGAGCTGCACGTCCCCTCAGCCCCACTTCAGGGAGCAGCCATGCTGCTGTGCCTTGCAGTGCAAACGGCTTCTGGGGATGTTATTTCCTGCAGAGTGCTGTGGGGTCCCTGCTTGGCCCTGAGCTGTGCCATCCTTTTGCTCATTGCTGCGTGCGAGACGTGAATTCGGAGCCCAGTGCAGCGCTCAGGTTCTGCTTGGAGCCTGAAGTAATTACTGAGTCATTGCTCCAATGTCTCTTCCCAGCTTTGCAGAGCTCGTTCTGTCCCTGTGTCTGAGGTCCCTGTGCCTCCCTGCAGCCACCACTGGCCCTATGCAGGAAAATATCAGCATATACTGCGTATCAGCGTGGTGCAAAGCAATGCAGGCAGCGCATCCCTGCAGGGCAGAGAGGTGCACACTGCAGGGCGGCACGGGGCTGCTGTGGGGACACTGCTGCTGTCTGAGGAGCAGTGGGATGGAGGGATTCCCCAGGGGTGGGAGCCGGGAGGAGCAGATCAGAGCTGCAGGTTGGGCTGCAGGTTGGGCTGCGTGCCCTCGCGATGCGCTGCTTCCATTGCCAAAGGATCATTTTTAGAGGCTGACAGCTGCTGTCTGACAGCCAGAGCTGGGTGCTAGAAAGCCTGAGCGCTTCCCAAATGCCGCCCCCTCTGGTTTTTCACGTAGGTGGGGGGGTGAGGTTTTGCTGGGGGTGCAAATGGTGGCACCTGGGGATGCTGCTGGGACAGCGATGCCACCTGCAGGGCTTGGGGAGGAGGCAGCGAGGAAGCAGCCAGGTGTGTTTCCCCAAAACCTGCATCACCGTGCTGGAAATGGTGTGAGCACAGCAGGGTGGGAGAGCTGCAGGGCCTGAGTTCTGTGCCCTGAGTCCGTGGGGCTCTTTGATGTGGGATTCCCACCTCCTTCAGGCTGCAGATATGGGGTGAGATCACCCCCAAGCACAGCACACGTTCCCTTTGGTGTCAGCTGGTGGCTGTTCTGTTGTCGGGAATAACAGGAAAGGATTTGGAAGCACTGATGCAGCTGGTGCCACAGAAGTGTAAAATTGTCGTGCTAATTAATTGAAACAGCCCCTGATTAATGCAGACTCACTGTGTTCCCACTGCCTTATGGGGGAAGGATCCAAATGCTGTGCTTTGCCTTCACCCTCTGCTTTGCTGGCTCAGGAAGCCATGGCAGTTAATTCTTCTTACTCTGCCTGTTGCTGAAAGCTGAGCAAGAAACCACCCAAAACTTGAGGGGAAGAAAGCTCTTCATCTGCAAGACAGAGCCAGGCATTGCATGGAACTGCTTCAGGGGCTGCCCTGGGTGCTGGGGCTGCGCTGCTCTCAGAGCATCCTTCTGTGTGCTGCTCTGCAGGCAGAGCTGTGGGTGCTGAGAGAGGAAACGTGAAGGAAAGCAATGATGAATTGCTGCAGCTGCCTTGTAAACATTTGAGTTCTTTTTTTTCCCCAAGGCTTAATTTGTTCAAATGAAAGCTGAAATCCATCAGGAACGCACTGCCAAAGCTCTGAGCATCCGCACACAGCACCTATCGCTGCTGGTCAGGGCTGCTGTGGCTCCGCAGTCTCAGCTGCAAAGTGCAGCAATGGAGCTGAGAGTTGAGGAGTTTCTTTGGCCACGTGTTGGAGCTGCGTGCTGCTCGAGGCAGTGATTGCCATCTGTGCTGGGTGAGGTCTCACTCATCCCTCTGACTTCCCTTTGGTTTTCCGGCATCTGTGTATTAACGGAGAGGTGGAAATCTCATCACTTTGTGTTCTGCTCTTTCCTCAGGGCAGAGGAGCACACGTGTGCTTCTGCTTGGGAGCAAGGACGTGAAATGCAGGCCTTTGGTGGCACACACGCATGGCTGCATGTTGGATCGCTGCTGCGGTGGGAATGGATCAGCTTTGCCCATTCCTGCTTTGCTTGCAGGGCTCCGTCCCCATGGGGATGGGTTTGGTGGGGACAGCGGTGACCAAAGGCTCAGCACACGGCTGGGGGAGATCCCAGAGCAGAAGGTCGAAGAGTGCAAAGTAGTTGTGATCAGAAGGGGACGGGTGCATCTCCATGGGCCGCACAGTTGCAGTGCAATTGGCCCTGGGGGCATCTCCTGAGTTCCATGTAGTGGGTGGTGGTGGCAGGGAAGCAAATCCCCTCTCTCTGCTGAGCCTGCAGGAGGCACCTTTGCAGAAGCAGGCTGGGCTCCCTTTGCACCTTTACAGCTGGCTTCTTCCAGTGCTTAGGAATCACAGCGTGCTGGATGTGTGGGGCAGGGCAGGAGGGAAGGAGGGCAGGTGGGAAGGAAAGAAAGGCAGATCATAAGGAAGGATGGAAGGTGGGAAGGAAGGAGGGCAGCTCAGAAGGAAGGAGGGCAGATGGGAAGGAAAGGAACGCAGCTCATAAGGAAGGAGGGCAGGTGGGAAGGAAGGGGAGGGCAGGTTGGCAGGAGAAGGCAGGTCAGAAGGAAGGCAGCTCCTCGCCCTGGCGCTGCCGGCACTGAGGGCAGAGCGCTGTGCCTCTGGCTGTGCCGTGCCTCAGTTTCCCTGGGGAGCTCCTGTCAGGAAGCACTGATGCAGGCTGACTCTCCCAGCTCATTGCTGTCGTGTGCTGCAAATTACATCGCTTTGTTTCGGCCGCCGAAGCCCGGTAGTAATCAGGGCAATATTGTGGCCGCATCCTCCCTGCGATCGCAGAGGACACCAGCAGGTTATTTCCTGAAAGGCTTTTGTTTGTCTTTCCTGCCCGTGTTCCTGCGAGGAAATCTGCCCTTCCTGAGGAAGGCAATTGGCATGGAGGGCTTTGCCCGTGGTGCTCACCTTGGGCTGCCCTGGAGTTCACTCCTGAGGCTCCGAGGGCTCCAGGAGCCATTTGTTCAAGGCTGCAATGCGTGCAGCAGTGTGGTTTTAGGCATCTCCTGCCCTGGAGCAATGCGGTGCCTTCGTGAAGGTTTGGCTTTGTCCCACAAATACAACACAGTGCAGATGGGGCGATGGCTGGGATGGGATCTGAGGGCTCTTTTCCAACCTTGGAGGTGATGCACTGCTCTCCCAACCCAGCGGTTTGTGCCATCCGTGTGCATCACAGCAGCTGCAGAACTGTGGGCAAAGAACATTCCTGCTTAGCTCCCAGCCCTGTTCCGTGGAGCTGGAGCCGTTTTTGGAGCCCTTCTTCTAAGAAAGCCATCTTAAAAAGTTCAAGTGCTGCTGGTGGAACTTTCCTGATGCAAAGGTTCCCAGCAGTGCTGTGTGAGGCACTGCGTGGAGCTGCTGCAAAGCCACCCTGCAGTCGTGCTGATCACAGCCGCAATCCAGGAGTGGCTCTGGAATGTGCCAGGAGAGGAATGTGGTCATTGGGTCAACGGGTTCGCAGTTCCTGGAGTTATTGGGGCTTTCCAGCAGCAAGCTTGGCACGTGATGCATTTACAGCATCCCAACCCCTTCCTTGGCCCCTCGCTCCAGCTCTGTACAGCAGCCCAGCCCTGCTGCTTGGGGTCCCCATGTTTTCCTCCCTGCAGGCAACTCTGGAGCAGTGGGGTGCTGCTCCAGGGCTCCGTGGGGTTCTCCTTTCGAGGAGCTGCACTGGGGGATGTGGGTCAGCAGGGAGATGCTGCTAGGTGGGCAGTTGGGCTGGATGATCTCAGAGGTCTCTTCCGACCTCGGTGATTCTGCGATTCATAGCCATTAGATCTTCCTTGCAATCTGCTTTCCTTACAGAGTGTCCTTGGCTTTTCTGCTGGTTTGGAGGAGCGTTATCTAAACGTAGGGCTGGAAATTGGGAGCTGTGGAGCTGCTCGCACGCTGTTCACTGGGGGACACGGGCAAGTGCATTTAATGCCCTTTGTTTCTTCATTCCTCTTTACAGCCAGGAGGAAATTAATACCGGCTCTGTAAAAGACTCCCAGTTGATCTGTTAATTTCTTGTGAGTGCTTTGGAGATAAAACCAAGGGACGAGCCTTTTGCTGCATCGCCTCTCCCTGCTCTCCAAAGAACTCACTCCTGCCTGCGGGTTGCCACGCTGGTGCTTTGCTGCAGGGATGCTTTTGGCTGGTACAGTGGTACAGTTCCCCCTGCACTGCCCGTGTGCTGCAGCGGTGCTCAGCTGGGGCATGGCTGGAGGGTGATGGGGACTCTCCTGTCCCCTCCTGGAGGCCAGCTCTGCCCCGTGCTGCCTTCTTTGAGCACTGTGTGCAGCTCGGGCATCAAATCCCACGCACAGTGGTTGGGCTGAGCCGTGTGGAAGCATGCTGAGTGATGCAGCAGGAGCAGCGTTGGGTTCCTCCTTGCTGCAGGACTCCTGCATGGCTGTGGTTTGCAGCTCAGCGCAGTGGGGCACAGCATTTCATTTCAGCTCATCCTGGTTAATTAGCCAAGGGGAAGTGCTTGGGTTGAGCAGGTTTTAATTGGGATGAGGGCACCCTGAGTTTTCCAGCAGGAAATTCTCCTGGGCTCCAGAGCCTGCGGACGTGGGGAGGCTCAACCGCGGATCCATGCACCTCGTTATGGCTGTTCTGTGCTTTGCATCAGCTTGTTTGTCAGCACAGAGCAGCCCTGGCAGGCTGACATGCCCGCTGCCTGCAGATGATTCACAGCTCTCCAGTGTGCCAGGGACCGTTGCATCCTCCTCCTGTTTTGCAGCACTGCAGCAGCGCTGTTGGGGTCCGAGGGCAGCGGTGTTCGCTTGGCAGCGCTGCAGTGCTGCATCCTCACTGCTGCAGGGCTCTGTGCACAGAGAATGGAGCTTTGCCCAAGGCAGAGGAGGAGATGGAGCCACAACGATTTGCTCCAGATCAGACAAAGAGTTGTGCTCGAACCTCGTTATTTTCTCACTGCTAATTAGGAAGAAAAGCCAAGGAATGGGAACATAGTTAATTGATGCTGCTTTTGGTGACACGGGGCTCTGCACGGAGCAGGGCAGCATCCGTGTGCACCAGCACAGCCCCAGCTCCTTGGTGCCAGCCCTGCCAGTCCCATGGCTGTCAATAGCCATTAAGACCCGTTGCTATTTGCCAGAGATACAGCCCTTATTATTTTCCAGAGCTGATTTCCCAATCCTATTGCCCTCAAACGGAGCCCAGTCGTTGTTCCCCCCGCACTGAATCAACCCTTGTTCCCCTTCCCTGCCCCTCATGCTGCAAACAAGTGAATGGAGGGCGGTTTGGATAGGAGAGCTGTGGCTGCCTGGCACAGCCCTGTGCACCCAGCCCTGTGTGAGAAGGTGACCGACCCCAGGCTGCTGCTGTGCAGGAGATAAGAACAGTGCTGATAGCTCTGGGACGGCCCCAGTGAGCCCAAACCTGAAAGGTACAGAGCAACAAGCAGACAGTGCCAGGTACGGCTCAGCCCAACCTCTTTCCCTCACCACCTCTGCTCACTGCAGCCCTGTGCAGCACAGCATTTCTTGCTCTGAGGTGCAGGTTTTGAGGTCACCGGAGAGGGAATGCTGAGCAGCACCCTGGGCAGCTGGAGAGCTGTCCCAGCCCCACTTCTGTCCCTCTTTTCCCCCAGCAGAACCCATCCAGCTCCATTCCCCACGCCCAGCAGTGCCCCATTGCTGAGGCTGTGCTGTTTGGTGCTCTGTCTGTGGCACCCAGAAGGGTTCATGTGGCTTTCAGAGGGGCCCTGCTGGTGCTGAGCCGCATGTGCTCCCTACAGCCTGCACTCTCTGCAGTGTCCTTCAGAAGGGCAGCCCTGCAGGGCAGACATGAGGGCTCAGCTCCTTCCAAACACGGGTGATTTTTAGGTGTTGGGGGGTTCTGTGGCTCCAACTCGAGCACAGCCCCAGGGGTTGGAGCAGAGAAGTGCATAAAGGCTTCACTGCTTTTTCTTTCACCGTAAATGCTCTTGGAAAGTATTTGATTAAAATGTTATTAAAACGTTCATTTCGTGCTGCTCTGGGAGAGGTCTTTACATCTACCAAGTGCTGCCAGAGCGATGACTAAGCTGACCTTGGGTCCCATGCTGGAGAGCTGCACTGCAGCGCCGGGGCGATGGGAGGGGGAGAAGTCTGGATGGATGGGATGGGGATGGCAGCACCCCAAGGGCACGCAGTGCCCGTGGCCTCAGGAGATTTCCAAATGGCTGGGAGCAGCATGGGGCAATAGATCTCCTCTTTGAGCTGCATCCCTCCCTGTTCCATCCCTCTGTCCTCGAATCCTGTCCCTCTGTATCCTTCCCATCTGCAGCTTGGGTAGAAGGCAGCTCAGGTACGGCACGTTTGGGGTCAGGAGGCAGAGAAGGAGCACTGGGATGGAGCTCACATGGCTCACACGGCACCCAGCCCGTCTGACAGCGCTGTAACCCAGCTGTAGCTGAGGAAGGCCAGAACAGTGTGCAGGTTGGAGCCTGTCCAGGGTGGTTGGGTTGGGAGTAAATGTTTACATGGCCCCGCACGCATCAGCATTGAGGGCCTGGGAAAGGGCAGACAGGTCCTGATTGTCAGCACACGGGTGGACCTCCAGGGGCTCTCACCTGTGGCAGCTCATGGTTTGCCATCACCTCTCTGTGCCTGGGGACCCCCGGAGGCTCACCGTGACGGGGCTGAGCTTGTCGGCCTCTTTGAGCATCCGCAGCCTCTGAGCAGCAGCAAGGGGAAGGCTCCCTGCACCAGCAGCTCTGCAGGGCAGGAGTTGTGTTCTTGCCCTGCGCTGGCTGTGCTGGGATTGAAGCAGCCCCATGCAAATGTTTTGAGACCAAAACGAAGACACCCAGTGCTGAGGAGCCACAAGGCAAATTCCTCAGCAGTGCAGGCCATGCCTCACGACAGCCCCAAATCTCCACGATGTGATTTCACCCCCTTTGGAGCTTGAGCTGCACTTGACCTTGGCTAGCATGAAGGCTGCAGAGCCGGTCCCACTGCCCTGCCCTGCCCCAAACCTCAGCCTGCACTGCAGCCCCATGCTCACCATGCAGTCAGGCTGAACCCATTAGCTTGCACATTTCCTTGTTTGCTCTCAGGGTTGGTGTTTACCCAACCATTCTTGCTCTGGATGCACACAATGTTTGATAGCAGATGAGCTGCCTCCACGGAATCAAAGGCATGATTAACATGCAGCCTGTGTGAGTGAGTGTATTTTTAGGGACCTAAAGCACCAAATTCACATCAGTGCACGAATGTTCCAGTTCGATGGGATCCCCGGGGCCCGTGGGGAAGAAGTGAGAGATGCTTAATTGTCAGCATTTGTGTTTTATTCATGATGGGATGTGCTCAGAGACTGAGCACCGGTGAGCTGCAGGCTTCGTGCTGCTTGTGTAGCTTTCCATCTGATTGTGGCCAGGGCTGGCTTATGCTGAGGTGTGCCCTGAGTGCCATTTGCAATGAGCTGTGCTAGGGGAAGG